AAAGCAACATTTTTACTAAAATAACAATATTATATTAATTGTATATCTGGAAATAAACTACCATTACAAAACAAATTCTTTATTGGATATTTTGGCCTCAAGATCGAAAACTATTTTTAAAATACGATTTCCAAAATTGTAAAGATTTAAAAGCCATAGTAATTAAAATATTTATTACTAGGAGTATATAATATAGTATATAATATTATATTTAGTTATTGAAACCACAAATCCAACTCATTTTTGTTGGTTACTATGAGATTAATGAGAAAAGTAATCCTTTAAAACATCGTAGTTCATTTCTTTGTGGTAATCTTTAATGGATTTTGAAACGAAATCAAATTAACTATTCTCCACAAAACCATCTTTGCTACCAATTATTATCTTTATTAACCCTTTCCTGTGGGAGTATTTAAACCAGTATAATATCCTTTTAGAAAGACTTTTCGAGAACTTGTAATATTTTTATCTACCTATCCTTTTGAAATGAGATGAGTTTCGTTTAGGCAGATGTTATCTAACAAGAAAAGCATCTTCCTTTTAATATTTATCTTTTTATCATTCTGAAATATTGCCTTCGCCAACAAACAATCTCTTCTGTATCGTTCAATATGGGTTTTTTTCTTTGATTTTCATAGAAAAAACCGATTTCTTTAAGTAATTTCTATAGCTTATCTCGGTCAAAGTGAGGAAAATTATTATCTCTTATTTTCTAATATTGTATCCAATGTAGGAATCCCCTTGTTTAAATAAAACGAATGAACTTTACCCCGAAACCTTTCTATAAAAGCTATCAATTTCAATTGTTAGTTTTCCTTCATGTACTATAAAAAATACCGACACTTAACCAGACTATTAATATTATTATTATAGTGTTCGCCATTTTGAACTTATGTATTTACAAAAAAAAAATCATAAATTATATAAATACCACAACGACCTAAACACAAACACCCTCTATACTAAGAATTATCTGGTAAAATACCTGCTGAAAATGTGGAAGTGACTACTACTCCGATTACCACGGTCAGTGCTATTATATATTAAATAGTGAGATTGCTACTGGTCTGATATAAATTCTTGAAGTTTTTACTCTGCATTGTTACGTATTATAAGAGTATTGAGCATGACAGAGGTAATATTGATCTAGTGTGCGGATGAGTAGAATGAGTATAAGAGAATTAAACAAAACTTATGATGAACATAGAAGGGAAAAAGTTAAAACATACTTATAAAATATATAAATAAAAAAAAACATTAGTATGGTTTGGATTCCAAAACATTTGGAACAGAAAATAAAACGTACCTGCATATTATATAAACAAAAACACAACATTGACAAAAGCCTTGTTTATTTTTACAAACAATAATTCTTGTGATAGTCTTCGAAGCGTTTTCCAGCACACAAACCTGGTTGATCAGCTCATTGAGTACAATGGTAAGTAGAGTATTCTATTTTTACTCCAACAAATTTTGCATCGTTTTTGCATAATTTTTTTGTATTTCTTGTTTCAATTTTCTCTATCAGATGCTGTGTAGTTTGGTTTACAATATTAGGTTTACTAGTACCCCTTTCAGCAAGAAGTTTTTCTGGAACTGACATACGATAATCGTAATAGGACAGTCGTTTTTGGGAATGTTTATTAAACAAAATAAAACAATTAAATAGTAGCAGCTGTATTTTATGCAGATCTTTTTTTTTATACCATCTAAGTGTTTTTCGGAGACTCGGGTAATATCCTACCATTTGGTTCATCCGGTCAATTCCGCTTATATGTGGATTGTACTCTGCGATAGGTAAAGGCGTTTTCTTTATTACTCCTTTTCTGTTTTCTATGTCAATAATGTTTTTTTCAAACTCTGTCGATATATACAACACATTCCACTTTTGCAAATTCGACTTCTTTGAGACTTTCCTTTTCTCCATGTCCTTAGGGCACCAGTGTAGTAAGTTCGTGTTCTAGTAGTTGCTTTGCTAAAACAAAGCAATTGTAGAAATTATCCATAAACACGGTATGCCCTGAATTTACGTAATTTTCATTAGGTGCATTTTAACAACTTTTTCAGTACGTCCAGTCCTGTATATATCAGGAAATTCATGATAAGAAATTGCCATTATGTGTGCATATATAACTTTATACCGTATTTGTGTCTTTTATTTTTTAGATATGGCCTGAAAACAAGTCTGTCCCTCCAAAGCAAAATTCATTCATTAAGTGATAACTCCTTTTTTGGGTAATGAACGTTTTCGATTTTGTTCTTAAAATAATTTAGTAACAGACGAATTTTGAATAAGCGATCTTCCAGTATTTTTTGTCCTTTACTAGGATTCTCAGCAAAATGCAGATTTCTTAAGATTAAAAAAACGGTCGCGGCTCATATACTTTAAAAAACATGTCATTCCAAACAGCTAATGAGTTTTCCAATAATTTTTCAAAACTTTATATTTTATTGCTCTAGCGTGTAGCAAAAGTCCAATAAATATGAGTAGTTGGTCCTGTGTCAGATCTTTCCAACAAGTTACTCTCGAATGCACACATGTTCCGCATATTTGTTTGTTTTAAAACTCCAAGAAATGATAACACAGACCTACATTTTTATTTTCATGAAAAAGTGTTTTAAGTTGAGTAAGTGTCCTATAGTAAATGGGATGTGCTGATCACGACTATGTACTTAGTTTTTTCCAGTACGTCAGGTTTTCAAAAAAAGTGTGTTTGAAACTTTTCATAGAAACTCTCAGAAATACTGAGACATTATTTATTGAAACCTTATTTAATATAAAATTACACTACAAAATTGAGTTGTTCTTAAAAAAAGGTTTCAGTATAACCTACGTTAGACAATATTTGGTTTCAAAAAAGTTACTGTTTTCTTTTCCCATGAAAACCACATTTTGTGGCCTTCTTTTTATGGATTTTTGTGATCGATTCTCTCTTCAAGGTCCAGCAGTAATCAGCCATCATTCTTATACCCCATGTTCCTTGGTAACGTCTCTTCATCTCCTTTATATATTGATAGAACCTTGCTTCCAGCTCCTTGTTGACTGCTCTAAGATTCTCGGGAAAATAATCAACGTGGGAATCCAAAAAATAAGTTTGACGCTCATATTGCATCCCAGTTTTTTATAATTTTCGACCATGTTAGGTACAATTTCTTTATAGTTTGGAGACGTGTTGTTTTCAAGCAAACCATCTATGAATTTTACGAAAGAACTTTATACTTCAGATTCATCCTGGGTCATTGTATTCTGGAACAATCTGTCCGATTTTAAGGTTCGAATTTGAAGGCCTACAAAAATTCCTTCTTTCAGTTTAGCTTCAGGAAAGTGCAGAAAATTTGTCGCATAGATATTTAAAGCAGTCACATTGTTTATCTAAAGCTTTAACAAACTGCTTTATCATTTCGTGAAATGGAGGCAAAACAATTAATTTTGGGTCAACTAGTGTATCACGTTGCACATTTTTTGTTCCGGTACTAGTCTTTCTCTGAGTGGCCACTCTTTCTTAACGTAATGTAAATTTCGTGATCGAGTGCCACTCGCACAAAAAAACATGGATACTTTGTGAATCCAGACTGCTGACTTAAAAGCATGGATATTATTTTGAGATCTTTACAGAGTTGCCAACAATATTCGCTATACTTTATTTTATTTAGCAACATCTCAAGATTCTCATATGCTTCTTTCAGATGCACGGAGTGAGCAACGGGCATTGAGGCACAAGTATTACTATTGTGAAAAAAGACACTCTTTAGACTTCTCTTAGCGGAATCATTAAATAACCGCCATGATGTGGAATCGTACTCTTAAGAAAATGTGGTACCTTGAGCCAATAGATTTTTATCTTTCAGTCGTGATCCTAAGATTTGCGCAGCATCCTTCGATAGGCCCAAGTCTCCTACTAAGTCATTAATTCAGCTTGGATAAACTTTTGAGGTTGGTCTATCTCAGGATTGAATTCATCTTCATCAGTTTTTTCGTCTGCACTTTCATCTGATGATTTCTGGTGGATGGTGTGAAGAAAAGTTGGAGGAATAGGGATTTCTGGTTCATAAGATACAGGTTGTTTAGCAAAAGGTAAAACAGGAGATTGAATTTTGTGTTAGTTTTTTTAATTGAAACCCTTAATATTGATATTGCAGAAGCAAAAGTAGCAGTCGTCTCCATGGGTTTTTGGTTTCCTCCATACCATCCTCCTCCTCCTAAGTGCCTTTTCTATTGAGGTTGGCGATCAATATGGCAAATTTCTCTGTGTTCTGGGCTTCATGGATTAAGTCATTTGCTGTTGTGTGAGTCCAATCTCTGATGTTTCGGAGCCAGGATTTCTTCTTTCTTCCTATACCTCTTTTACCCTCGATTTTGCCTTCTAATATTACCTGGAGCTGCTCAAATTCCTTATGGCGCATTATGTGTCCTAGATATGACGTCTTTCTAATTTTGATTGAATCCATCCCATAAGAATGCCGAAGGGTAAAGAGTTACATGTACCTTTTGTCCATTTTCTCAGTAATTCGACACACTAAAAGCACACTTTGTGTGGAGCCCAAAGTTTGTCCTGATGACGACATTTTACAAGCATCAATAACGTACTTGTTTGCGCTAGTATATAATACCTCACAAGGTTTTTTTCAATTTTGTGAAAATTTTGACGTGATGGGCAGTATTGCCATTCAAATAAAATTAACATAATAATGTATAAAAATATTTTCTATCGATCTATAAAGTATTTTGTAAACAAATAATTTTAATGCAATTTACGAAATATCAAGGTATTTGTTTCCACTAGTACATATTATATCTCAAGTTTTTTTTTTAATTTTGTGAAAAATTTGAACGTGATGGGCTTAAACCGAATTCATATTCAGAATCAGCGTACCCTTATTTGCTAAGGACACATGTCAAACTCAAAACACCAAAAATCATGTCGGCCTGTGTAATCTAACAGCAACCGCAAATAATAATAGGGATTATTATCATTTTTGTCAATATCAAACAAGTATGCTTAACCGATATTTTCTGGAACATTATTTTTTTGATATCTGTAGTTATTAATCCAAACGTTATCAAAATCTGTTAACCCTGCATCGTCAACAGTCATTGATGGAACAGTTTCACTTGCTGCCAAATCTGCAACAACAAATATTTTATACTGTTACTTGCAAACATTTTTTATATATGTTATTATAGTGTACTCTCCTGTTTCAAGTTATTGTGAAAGGACAATAAATTTCTATTCTATTTCAAACACTATGCTACAATATTATTTGTGTAAAAACGTAAATATAACAAATTTACCTGATACCGTTATCGGTATCAGAACCATCATTGTCATCGTATTCCTGTGACTGAGAGCGAATGAGTTGTCACTGTCCATAGCGTCCTCCATATCTGAATTTTCTAATAAATATAACAGTTCCTTATCTGTAAGCGGTTTGCTGTATGTATTTGGTATTTTACTCTTTATACCTCTGGAAGTACTTACCTCGCATGCACCTGAGTCATCCATCTTTATCTAGCAATTAATTAATATCCTAATTTATATTTTTAGATGTACACATCTTACCACAAGTGCTATCACTCCTACAATACTCTCACTACAAGTACTAGCATACAACTAAACATTATATCCAATAGATTATATGACGTACCGGTGCTTCATACGCACCTCTACAAGAAACAACTTGAAACACTGGTGCGTCATGAGCACTGAACATGTTAATCCATGCCGAAAGTATAATTTGCTTTGACAATCTGCTAACAACCAACAGAAATGACAATATGGTTTGTTCAAAATATTAGAATAATACAGCTATGGCCTAAAATTTTTATACTAGCCTTATTTAAGTAGGGATAATATTGAATTGAAAAAGCTCGCTTTGTTTGTGGATCCTTTGGAAACAGCCCACGTGGTTGGAAATGGGCCCAATTTAAAAATCATTTTTCTAAAAATAACTGTCACTTTCATTTCATTGCATTTCAACTTAATTATTCAGTTTATAATAATTTTGATACACTTCATACACTTTCATTTGTATAGTACCACATCAATACCTTTCATTTTCTACCTTTATCATTTTCTTACCACTTATGATGTCAATTAACTAACATTGATAGTTCATTCTTTTTTCAATAATAGAGATTTACTGATCTAGACAATAAATTTTATCATTTAAACAAATCTAATTTTTAAATACAGGTTCATTAATAAGATATTAGTTATTACTACAAGTAAATAAATTTTATAATTTCACAAATAAAAATTACATTAATTTCGGAACATACTGACATCTAGTCATTTTCAGCTGTCTTTAAATTATTTCCTGTCACCTCAGCCAGTTGGTCTGTGTCGTTTCAACTGACAAGTACCACGTGCTAATATTCGAGCAGGGAGACATGTAGTCCCTAAAGTAATTTTAAAAATATATCCATTGTCATCGACCTGGAGTCAAAACATTATTAAATGTAAAATTTGGAATACTGTAAATCCATACATGGAGGTCTTATAGACAACTTTACTGTTAGCAACAAATACACAAGGCACTGAGGATGATCTGTTCAGATTGAAAACGTTCTGCCAGAATTTAAATGTTGACGACACTTTTATAAAGTTTTAAATATTTGTTTGTTTTTATAACACAATACACATGTGTGAAGTGTTTTAACTTCTGTGTTTTTTTTAAACGATGGTATACAGCCAATTACGGGGTTTTTTTCCCATTAATTTTAAATCATTTTTTGCTATTTTGGTGGGGTTTTGGTGAGACCAAAATTTTGTCGATCTAACGAAGAGATATTAAGAAATTCTTCACTCTTATTTGGATTTTCGGTGGGATACTTTTTAATTTTTGGAACTTTTGGCAGACTTTTGCGATGCAGAAGAATCTAAGTATAAAATAAAATTCAAATTAGATATAATAAAATAATCTTCTTTTTTTAGTCATAGTCCTACAAGTAGATAAAAATCTAGTATTTACCATTGCAATCTAAACCACTTTGGAAATCTGCTCGATGTATAGGCGTCCAAATGAAATCGAGTAAGAATATTATGGCAGCAGTAAAATTAGTCTGTGTATTGGAATTAAGCGGCAATCACAAAAGCGGCTAACAATTTTGTAGCGGTTGTAAAACCTTTAGAAGATTGACTATACGGCCTAATAGTGAAATTGTGGAATAATTTTTAATTTTTAAAATTTTTTTCGACCTGTCGTGGGTCCCTGTATGTTGGGGACCCCTGGATGCCGGAGGCCCCGTATAATTGATACGGCTGATATGACGATAGCTACGCCCCTGGCCACTTCACCATATCACTTCAATTGTTTGTGACTTAACACAAAACATTTTTTGTAATATTCGAGGCGGTTGGCAGCAACAAAACATCCTTAGTGATCCAAAAATACTGGTTCTTAGAAATTTTGAATTGAGTGCCTTCTTGATTTTGTTTAGCTGAATAACATAGGGAACATTTTAATTTTCAGCAAGATATTAAAACCAAACCAGTTAAAGAAAACGAATGGTTTGTCAAGGAGTGCCAAGAAGCAACAGATAACAAAAACAGGGCGTACCTAAAGACAAATCAAGCTGGATGCACAAGAAGAGCAAAGGAAGATTACCGGACACTAAGAAGAGAAGAAAAACGATTACATAGAAGAAAAAAAAAGACAATTTGAGCAAAAGCAGTTGAAAAGCACAGAATGGCTAAGAAATCAAAATGAAACTTGAAAGTTCTACAGAAATCTAAACAAAATGCGCAAAGAGTTTAAGTCAAGAATAAGGAGCTGTAAGAATGTAGAAGGAAACATCCTAAATGATACAGCCTCAATCCTAAACAGATGGGTTGAATTTTTCGATGCAAAATTTAATGGCCATCATATCGAAGAAGCAGATAACACCCTAGCAAATCGAAATGATTGGAATCCTTTCAACCCAAACGAAAGACCACCTACCATCGAAAACGTTGCCCAAGCCATTAAAAAGCTTAAAAATAATAAATCACCAGGAGTTGATCAAATTTGCAGTGAGCTCTACAAGAATGGTGGCGATGCCCTACTACAGACACTGCATAAGCTTTTACTTCTTGTTTGGCATAATGAGACTATGCCTTGTGAATGGTCTCAAGGCGTGATATGCTCGTTACATAAAAAAGGTGACCAGCTCCAGTGTGACAACTATAGAGGTATAACCCTGTTAACAACTGCTTACAAAATACTAGCAAATATTCTCTACGAAAGGTTGCAAGTTTACACAGTGGGCATAATTGGTAAATATCAAGTTGGATTCACTCCAGAAAAATCAACAATTGACCAGATTCATTCAATAAGACAGATTCTCGAGAAAACGTTAGAATTCAATATTGAAACCCATCACCTATTCGTCGACTTCAAGGCCGCATACGACAGTGTCAAGAGAACAGTGCTATACCAATCAATGCATGAGTTTGGTATACCAGAGAAACTTATCCGACTAACGAGAATGACAATGTCTAACTTAGAAGCCACTGTTAGAATACAGGGAGAGAGTTCTAGATCCTTTGAGATAAAGAATGGACTCAGACAAGGAGATGCTCTGGCTTGCCCCTATTTAATATTGCCTTAGAAAAGGCAGTCCGAGATACACGAATTAGGGATGGCGGTACTATTTACAATAGATCGATACAAGTCTTAGCATATGCTGATGACATTGACATAGTAGGGCGTAGCAAGTGAGATGTTGAGCAATATCTCCTAGAATTGGAAACAGCGGCGAAACAGGTCGGTCTAGTCATCAACGAAGACAAAACCAAGTACATGTTGGTTACAAAGGATCCGATAGCAAATGAGGAACGAGAAACAGTCTTTGGAAGTCATACCTTTGGACGTGTTGACAACTTCACATACCTTGGGTCGCTATTGACTGCTACCAATAAAACAAGCGAAGAAATCAAAAGACGAATAAATCTTGCAAATAGAGCATACTATGGACTCCAAAAGCATTTCCACTCAAGAAACATTCAAAGAAAAACTAAAATTATTATTTACAAAACATTGCTGAGGCCGGTCCTCACATATGGACCAGAAACATGGACTCTAACGCAGAAAGATGAAAGACTTTTGGGAATATTTGAGCGTAAAATACTCCGCAAAATATTTGGAGCTGTAAACGACCAAGGGCAGTGGCGCAGAAGATATAATTTTGAATTGTATCAGCTCTTTGATGAGCCAGATGTCATAACGTTCATTAAAACACAGCGACTTAGATGGGCTGGACACATAATACGAATGCCAGAAAATACCATTGCTAAAAAGCTAACCACAGGATCACCTGTAGGAAAAAGAAGCAAAGGTCGACCGCGAATTAGGTGGTTAGATGGAGTAGAAACCGACTTACGAATATTAAAAATCAGAAGATGGCAACATGTTGCCAAAAACCGAACAGAATGGCGACGAATCTTAGAGCAGGCCAAGATCCACAGAGGATTGTCGAGCCAAAGATGATGATGATTAAATTAAAACATTAATTTTAGACTATTCTTTCTACGGTCGTTACCCACTGAAAGATACCAACTTATATCCAATAATAAATTGTACAGATGTAGCTTATTTACTTGATCCGAAACCCGTGTAAATTGATTGAATAGACTTTAGTAATTATATTATTAATATTATTTAGTAAAACCAATTATATAACATACGCTTAGACACATCTGCAGGTATAAATTTCCAGGAACCACATTTTCTAGTAATTTTATATATTACACTATTCAAGTTAAAATACAAAGAATTTTATAACAATGGAGAACCTAATCTCGAATGGCTTGTGACTGGTCATAGCTTGGCGCCCGATGCTTGTGCTTTTATCTTCTTATATAATAATAAATAGGTACATAAATACTTTATTACCATATAACCAGAAAAGATAAATGCCATGGAGGTGTTTCGATGTACATAAAAGACTGTTTATCTTCAACCTCAAAACTTTTTAAATAATATGGCGGAAGAAATACATTTTGAATGTAGTTGTATTACTTTTAGCTTAAAAGATAGTATGTGTTGTCTTATTAATATTTACAGAGCCCCTTCTGGCGATATTGAGATATTTGTAAACAAACTTTACTCGTGTCTAAATTATTGTTTTAAACATTTTAAAACCACTATTTTATGCGGCGATTTTAATATAGATTATCTTATTAAAGACTTTAAGGAAAAAGTTTTACTTACTGATTTTATACAAAGTTTTAATTTAAAGTGTCAAAATAAAGAACCTACAAGAATATTTATAGACAAGAATGGAAAAACTTCTAAAACTAAATTAGATTATTTTCTTACAAACTGATCACATCAATATGAAGAAACTACCAAAGATTTTATTTTGGGAGATCATTTTGGTTTGGAGTTTTTGATAAACCAGAAAAAGGACAATTTAAAATAAGTCAAACCGTAACATTCAGAAATCTTACCAAATCGAATTTATTAACTTTACAAAACAGATTTTTTACTGAAAATTTTGAAAAAGTTTACGAATATTTCGATAATGCGAATTTGGCATTTGAAACATTTTTGAACGTACTCACGTACCATATTGACATATCTTGTCCAATGACTACAAAAAGAATTTGCAATAAGTATAAAAATAATTGGG